TCCGGAAGCACCAAATTCGTGTCCCCGATTGCTAGCTCTACTTTTGTGCCACATCATATATATCCAACCTAAAAGCACATTCATATAATAGCGTTGGCTCTATAATTAATGTTTGACCTCACCTTCTCTCAAATGTGTTGGAGCTCGTGCTGCAGTTGTCTACTCGCTTAGTTCTAAAAAGAATGTACTTTCAACTTGGTTGGAAAATCAAATTTTTTATGTTTAACCGTATTTATATAATAATAGACGGACATTTATGCTATCAAATTAGTAGCATTAAATTCATGATAAAATATATTTTTGTTATATATCTATTGGGTTTCACCAACATTGATATATTTTTGCAAACCCTTCAACAAAGTTAGAAGTACACCCTTTCAAAAACGAAGGAAGTACAAGTTTATAGCCCACTCATCTTCTCTCACCTCTCCTTTCCCCTCCACATCATCACAAAACTGTGGTGGCAAGTCTTATGGCCTGCTTACTCGCCCTATACTTGCTCTGAGCGAGTGAAATGGAGAATTTAGTTGTCGTTTCCTGGAGAGCCAAAAATGCTAAACCAACTGTTTACTATGGGCTAATTACAGACCACGTCTCTCACATACTACCCCCTCCCCCTAATTTCAGGTGGCGGGGGAGAGGGCCACTTCCCCAACTGATACCTAACCACAAATTACCACGTCACAGTCAACCCATAAAATCACGTGTGTAGCATTACTCCCCTGGAGCTATGTAAAATGCACCGAGCATGTGTTTGGTTGCAAAACGAAGTGAAACTCTCGGAATGTTATGGTCCCATTTCACTAGCATGGTTGCTCTCGTTCCTATGTTTAGTATGAGTCAATTTTGTTCCTATGTTTGATTAGGGCATCTTCAACGTGAAACCTCAAACCGCCTACATTTATTTGGATCGGATGGTTCAGGCATGTTTTGCCATGCAATGCAGTAACCCATCCATTTATGGACCGGTTGAATGTTCGTTTTTTCGCAAACCGGAGACAAACCAAGTGAACTTTACGGGCGTCTGAACCGCTATCACACGTGTGTCCGACAGCCCGGTCGCATCCGAAAACCCTCTCCCTCACCCGCGCCTTTCCTGTGCAAAGTAAGGTAAGCAAAATAACTAGCAAAAGATGAGCATGGCAGGTAGAAGTCTGCAATTTGACGCTCATAAGATTTTTGAATAAATACGAAAAAAAAACTAGTCCAATACGTATTAGGATTCCAGCCGCTATCACTTTAATGTTTTTCACTGATACTTATTGATATTTCTTAATTTTTTTTGAAAAATGCTACTGATAACGCTGTTAGCCATTTTTGACCGGGCATGTTTCACATGTAACTATACTAGTGGTTGGGGCTTGCCATTGCGGACCGCTTGAGAGAAAGATATGTGCACCTTTCCATCAAGTCAAAATAAATAAATAAAAATATGCTCACATCATATGGACACCACAACCATCTAAGAGCATCTCCAACAGACGCCCTACGACGCCGCGCGCTAAATTTTTTTTACAGCGCCAAAATAGCGTTTAAGCGTGCTGGATAACCGAACATCTCCAGCAGACGCCCAAAAATATACTGCGAAGCTACATCTCCAGCAGACGCCCAAAATAAACCACACGCGCCCGTACCCAGCTTGCCGCCCGTGGCATACTCGCCGCCATGGTCATGGCCACACGCCGCCGCACGTGGCCTGCTCGCCGCCGTGGCCGCGCTCCTTCCCTGCTCGCCCCGCCGTGGCCGTGGCCGTGGCCT